ATATTAATTTCAATTTACTATATTTACTTATTGCTCTGTGTTGTTACTTATTTAAATTTTAATTCTCCGAGCCTCCAAATACTTGGTTATCAATTTAATTTAGTTGTGTAAAATTATATTAAATTTCATCGTCATGTTACATCGTCGACGTAATGTATTCTCACAGGATTCGCTCGAATAGATTCAATTATACCAGCGCGTCCTAATTACATACACGCATTCGCCCGAGATTGTTTAAGTTTATGTAAGTCGATTTCGTCGTGCTTCCACAGAATTACGAGCACTTCACGGAACACGTCACATATCGCGTTTCGTTTCTTTACATCATATATCTACCGCAGGTGTAGCAGTTAATTACTCGCGAATGTGCGTTCATTTCGCAATACGCATTATACGCATCGACGCGAACAGCGATCTGCGATAAACGTGAACTTTCTATAGAGTAAGGCATAAAATGTCTGATTGATCATGTCAGTTTCCGTGCTTTGCCGGAACATCGTTATAATTTCTTATAAAAGAGATAAATGAAGTAAAGAATGAATACGTAAAAGATGCCATAGGAACTCAATAAAAAAGTATGGGGACTTAAATAAAATTTTTTGATAGGATTATTTGTACGAATAAGACAGACTATAGGAATCATCAATTAAAAGAATTGGAAGATACGAATTCGAAGGGTTGAACGTCGTAAATTAAAAAAGCTAGGAGTCTCATGAATTAAAGACTAAGAATTAAAATGATTAGAAATTAAAAGGACTGAAAATTATATTTATGAAAGGATTAGGAGTTACGAATTGAAAGAACTAGAAATTACGAATAAAAATAATCAGGACTCACATGAATTAAAAAAATCACGAATTAGGAATTACAAATTTAAAAAAAGAACTAGAAGGCAATTATGGAACGAGTCTAAACTCGGAGCCATCTCGGGGTTCCATCTACCTCCATCATTGGGTGTAGGTGTATACCGCGACCGGTGGTATCGCGTGAGAGAGTAACCCGTAGCAGACAAGGAGAACGAGACGGAAGAGGAAAGAGAAAGGAAAGGACTATTAAAGGAAGAGGCGAACGAAGAGAGATGGAGAAAAGGGAAGGGACCTATTAGGTCCCCTCCGTCTCGTCGTCCTCTGCAATAGCACGGAGGTCCGTTCGCCAGTGCCGTAGCTTGTGTGACATTCAGACTTCCCTCGTTTTCTTTCTTCCCTCCTATGTTTCGAAGATTGCGGGAAGAGGAGTCCAGGGAAGCGTGATTACTCTTAACTCGCGCAATTCGTCTTAACGAAGTAATTTCTCTCTTTTAAGTCACGCTCTCAAGTTTGTGATTGACACGATTTTACAAGATCTTAGGACTAAGTTTGTTTTCAATTTGATACACGATGGAGATATACATACATCTTATTCAAGACAATCGGTCACGTTTCTATAGAATCGCTACTTGATGGCACTTCTCGGATATTTCACAAACGTTTCTATCACTAAATTGAAGTGGAATGACGAAGATAAAATATCGCAGCGGATCCTGCAGTCTCACGTGCTCCGTGAAATGAAGTAACCGCTGATGATACGCGTTATCGGCGCGCCATCACCATGCGTATCGCTCGCCCATTCACAGCGCAATTAAGCTCGACGAGGAAGTGGCACGACTGGCCGGCTGAGAAAACGCGGACCGCGGAATTTATTCACACTCTGTTTCGCTCTGGCTCAGGCAAAAACAACTCGTTCCACTTTTGCGACCGATCTCCCGCCGATAAAATACAAGTCCGACTACACCTCTCCTTCCCGCCCGCGCAATCCGGCCGGTTCCTTGATCGATCGAAATCGGATCGTACATATCACGAAGACGTTCCTGTCTGTCCGGCTGTTACCGTACAACGTGGCCGTCAAAACAAAATTCGATTACTGGGTCACGGGGTTTCGTGAAGAGCGCGTTCGAGACGCGGACTTTGAATGCCAATGTCAGACGTGAGTCTGTTTGCGACTCTATTTTGTGCATTTCTACAAACAGGAGAGATTGTCACAAATTTCTTATCCTAGAATTCCATAACTTTTCCAGACAAAATTTCATGTGATTTTCCCTAATACTTTTAATAACACTTTGATTTTTTTTTGTATTTTTATCCTGATTTGAAAACTGTCAAATATATTTTGTTGAGAAAATTAAATAATACACTGTTAATTACTATTAATGTCGCTGACACTCTACGTTTAATTGTTAAGTTAATAATATTCTAAAACTGTGTAAAAGGAGAGTGTGATGTACGTACATTAAATTTTTTTAAGCAAGAATTTTCGAGAAAATTTTGCAAAATTTTCTGGAAAATTGAAGTTCTTGATTTAAAAAATGTAATTTATGACTTTTTCTTGATTTCCAGTTTTTTGGCAACCTTGTTTCTTAATTCACAATACGTTAAATAACAAACGAAACTTTTTTAATCAGATAAATAATTAAAATACACGCTTTAGCGCTCAGCATAAATCTTTTATCAGATATCGCCAACATGACATTCGGAAATGAAATATAAAGTTCCTAAATTTTTATTTTATCGTTTTAAAAATAATTTTATCGCAATTATCGCTTTGATTAAAATGAGAACAAACAAAATATATATATAATTTAGATAATTTTCATAATTTTTAAAATATTTTTACTTCGTCTTTCACATTTGCTTTCTTATTTATTTCTAAAGTTTTATGCTTCTTATTACTTTCTCTATTTTTGTGGCACACTTGAAAATTATTTGCAGCACACCGATTAAAAAAATCTTTATATATAGATTAATTTTTTATATTAAGGAGAAAAAAGGCTAATAAGAGTCACATCACAAAAAATCACATATATTAATGTCCTTATAAAAATAACAAATATATTAATAAAAATACAAAAAAAAACGCTAGAACATTTTTTAATTATTATAAAAGTAACGCACAAAGATTGAAATATAAAAATAAAATTTTTATAAAATTTCTTGAATTGTCGGTACGTCCGTTGAATCATACATTTTTTTCTTGGAATTAAACATGACTCGTGTTGCTATTTTTGCACTCCGTACTTTGAACACCGCGTCGAAAGGAATGAAGTTGAAAGCGGCCGTCTTTTTTACAATCATAAATAATTCAGTCCCACAGCCGATGTAAACGTCAAATTGACTCGCAAAATCGCCAGTTAAAGTGCCGCGTTGAAAATAGTGTTCTCCCTGTAGTGTTCTATGCTGTTGCGATTCGACTTAACCATCCATTCGCGCTTCGCGTTAAACTCCATTAAATTTCGCGTCGGAGTTTCCTCGCGTGCGATTATATCGGCAAAACGCAATTCCCGCGATTAAAGCGAGAAAAAAGAGGGGCTTCTCTCCCTTCCCGAGCTCGCGGTAGAACTATGGTAGAACCGCAACCGCGTTGTCGGGAGAATGGATTATGTGGCGTGGCTGCAGCTATTACGTTACATTCTCGAACACGCGCGAGACACTGATGACGCGTATTGTCGGATACAACTACTTATTAATAATTCAACGAGCCAATGTGTTGCCCGCAGATAACAGATGGAGAAGAGAGAGGCTGACTCGCGGTCGCACGCCGCGCGTTAACCCTTTGAACCGGAAATGTACTCTTTGTCGCGGAGAGATCAGAGCATGAAGAGGTCAAGAGATGTTCAAATTTCACTTATTTCATGATAGCGAAGTCTCGAATGTCATGGAAAGAATGTTTCGCTGAAGTATATCTAAAACTTCAGGTAGACACAGAGATCTAAAAAATATCAACAACCTACATAATTAATTTGATGGTCTAAAAATTCAGCTAGAAACATGCCTGAAAATAATTTTGTTAAATTATCCAATAATTATGCAAAACGCTCAAGCTGATTGCTATAGAATATCAAAACTTTTTGTAGCATTGCTCGTTAGTTTAGATTTAGGTTTCCTACATAATTATTTTTATGATTGTCTAACAAAATTATTTTGAAATCAGTATCTATCTAAATGTTTAAATGTTTTAGCTGAATCGATCTTTCTATACAGATTCGACAGCACCGTGTGACAAGTTTTGTACAATTCCTCTCCAAAACACGTTTTTCTGTACGCGTGCTAAAAAGAGAGATTGATCACACATATATGATAAAAATTCCGAAAGAAATTTGGAATGAGGTGTAAAGATTTAGATGGTATTCGTGAGGTGTGACGAATTTTGGACCTGTTTCGACAGCAAACAAGAATGTACAACGGGTTGTCGTGTAACAGGCGAATCTAATCGTCGGTGGATGGACGATTCTAGATAAGCTTTTCTAAATTTAGCAGTAAGATACATTCATTCTTGGAATACATATGAGTTATTCATATGGAATTTATATAAATCCTGTTACACGTTTTATTGCAAACAGCGCGTTGGATACGACGAATCGACTTAAAAAAAATACTATAAATAAATAAATATGTCATAAAGCATTATCGATATTTACTAACTACTGAATTAAACACAATAGCTTTTTCTAACAAATATATAGAACGTTTGAATGCCGAAAGCCTAAGTTTAGCAAAGAAAATTCGTGTTACATATATTTAGATTGTACAAATTATATAAACCAGTATTTATAGTCGCTTCTATTTCTCTCTAAATTCTCTTTAAAGTGGAATCTCACTCTAAAGAGTTTTACTCCAAAGAATTTAGAGAAACTCTTTAGAATGAGATTCCATTCGAAAGAATTTAGAGAGTTCAAGATCGTCTTAAGTAATGTATCTTAAAATGCTAATAATCTGTTTTTGATTGGTATATTTATAATATCTTAAGACTGTACTTAAGACTGGTCTTAAATACAAGAATTAACTATAATATTCAACTATAATATATGTATGTATACGAAAGAATATCAGCTATAGATTTAAATAGACTATGGAGAGATGTGTAATATAATTTCTCCTGAAATAACCGGTCCGATTATGTTCGAGCTTCTTCAGAGGGGAAACTTCTTTATTCTTCTAAGGAGGAATAAAGAGGCACGAGTCGTTTACCTGATCACTCGCTGCGTGCTGACACCTGCGGGCCTGCGGGATAAGCGGCGGTTACTCCTTGAACTTCCACTCCTGGCGACACATCGGGCATATGTGGTTGGTCTGCTGCGAATGCAGCCACTTCATGATGCAGTGTATATGAAAACAATGCGAGCACTGCCCCCACACTGGAACCAAACGATGTACATACATACAGTCGTGAACATTGAGTTTGTTACACTATTTACAAATTCGTATAACAAGCTGTCGAAATGATACGGAATCGAAGTATATAAGGTGAAATCCAAGAAATATACATCTTACAATTTTTTATTTTCTTGACATCTTATAATACATATATTGGAAATATTAATGAATGTATTAAATGAAATTGATTTACTTTTTTTATATTTACCATAATTTTGCAGTATCCAATTTTAAATGTTTTACACAAGATATATTTCTTGATTTCACCTTGTATACTTTGACTCCATATCATTTTGACAGCTGTCATAACCGTTTGTTACACGCATTCATAGATAGTGGATCGCACTCTGAAAAATTTTGCGTATTCAGAAAACCATCAAAATAAAAATTTTAAAAACCTCAGTGTCCACGACTGTATGTACACGAGCGGTTATTAAATTGATCTCGTCGGTGGTGGACGACGGACCGGTGAACGGTCGGGTGCACCTGGCGATTAACAGCAAGAGAAAGGAAGGGTGGTAACAACGGAAAGAACGGACGGACGTGCGTGCACACATTCGCCGCGCATCGATACTCGAGGGTGCCCAGGGCGAGGGTGAGGGACAGCGGCACCTACCAGTCGCGTTTGTCCATCGGCCGACCGGCACGCGTCGATCGATATCACAACATCGCGCGCCGTCGCGGATGCGACCTTCTCGTCATGGCGGTATTTTAAGAGTCGGAAATATAAAGCTTTAATTGTATCTCACGATGCTACTCGAAAAGAATGATTTTGTTGAAGTATGTACAAATTTAGCTAGATACAGATTTAAAAATAATTTTATTAGACTATATCTCAAAATAATTGTGTAAGCTGTTCAAGCATAATGAAAAATGCTGTAAAAAGTTTTCTAGTAATCACTTTAAATGTCTGACATAATTTGATGGCTTGATAAAATTATTTCCAGATTCTGTATCTGAATAAAATTTTAAATAATTCAGCAAAATTCTTTATTCCATATAGAAATCTTGGATGGAGGAAGAATTAACAAATCACATTTGAACAATTCAGCCATTTGGCAAATGGTGAATTGATTCTTTGTCTGAGATCTGGAATTTACACGAAAAAAAAATTTTTAATAAATAATCTAAAATTTAAATAATTTATTTCGTGGGCACAAGGCTTAAAAAACATCGTCCTATTTTTTAACTCGCTTTCAGCAATCTATAATATTAAAATAATAATGTATTCTATTTTATGCGTAATTATGAAACTTAATTAAACGGACACAAATAGAAAATGTATATCTATTAAAATATATGCGCATACATTAAATAGATTATAAGTAGAAACACGTCAGAAAAATGCAAATTATAGACATCGATCAAATTCTGATTAACTTAATAGATGATTAATTTATTTAACAGAAAAATTTTTCCACGGAACTTGTTTCAAATTCCAAGAAAATTTTTTTAATTACATATATAATTCACATTATTTTCAATTTAATATATAAAAAATTCCTAATCTTAATTTCTTGTTAAATGTTAAATAAAAATTTAATCATTTAAAATAATTATACAGATATCACACATTTAATTGAGAAATAAACCTTATTAATTTAAGCAACAGTTACTTCATATGGCAGAATTTTTGCTTACAGTAACATTTCTAACTGCATATAAATTATTATTCCTAACTTTTCTCTCTCAAAAAAAAGTGGAAATATTTAATAGCACTAAAAAAATATATTTTATTCGAAGGAACATGCCATGTATAGGGAACAGTTATTTTCAAACAAATAATTAAAAAAATAAAAACTAATAAAAAAATAGCAATCGTAGTTTACTTTAGTACTGTAAGAAAAAGAGTATGCATCTCGAATACCTAGTGGACAGTCATCCCCAGGGATCTTGCAATCTGGACAGCTGGCGTCGAACGGCATCCTGCATATGCCGCAATTGTCATCGTTTGCGATCCATCGCCAGGTGGCGACGCCTGTCCAACCTGGATAGAGAAATGCCTTGTAGACGCTGATCTACGTATAAATGCTTTGCGGTCGAGCAAAACGTACGCATGATGCCAATGTTGGCCGTGACATAACCATAATGTCTATTTTTACAAGATTGAGTTCCATACGTGCCGCGTTAGAATTACGTGCACCAGACAGAACGGACTGTAAGAAAATTTCGAATGTCACTCCAAATACTTACTCTTTATCGTTACCTTCATTTCAGAAAATCAGGATTGCTCTCTTGAGTGATGCGATGCAATTTCAGCGACTTCCCCGCGAATTCTCTGTTATTCCTCGATAACGTGATTTCGGTGAAAATACATTTAGGTAGAAATGCGCGTTTATCGTGGTAGAACAATCAATTAACTACAGCTGCAGCTAATAGGAAAACACAAAGTAATCAACAGATCTGCGCCATCTTAAGATTTTCAAATCTCGATTTGACACTCGAGATATTCGACTCTCGTGTAGAGTTCTGGAGCTTACTTCAGACGATTCGGTATAATTCGCGCGTTGGTTTCAAAAATAAAATTCTGGTTATTAATTATGTTGCAAAGAAATGTACACATATTTAAAATAAATTTTCACTACTCTGTAATATCGAACGAAGCTATTATACAAATTACTAGTATATTGGATTTCCTGGAGCTGAAGGTAAAATTAGTAAATAAACAGTAAAATAGTAAATAAATATGTAAGAATTAATACTCTTCGTTATATAAACGAGAGAATATGCTTTATCAATATTAATTTTAAGCAAAATAGACATATGTAAAAAACTACATATACATATATTTTAAGAAGTAATTAGAAATATTTTTAAATCTTATCTCTTAAAATGCATTATATTTTTCCGTATTTGTATTCGATAAATAATTTTATATCTAAAAAATATTAAAACACGAAATTATATATTATTAAATTACAGATTTAGTTAGGAAAAAATAATTTCTATATTATTCGTTATTAGTATTAATAGTGATGGAAAGTGATAATTGTAATTTTTCTTTGCCATATATCTGCAGTATATCGTAAGTATGATAAAATCTATTAGTTTTTCGCTTCCATTCGATACAGAAATGATTTTTAGATTTATTCGTTACAATGAAGATATATTTCGACTGCCTTTTTTCACGTGCGAGATCTAGATTTGGAAATTCTATCGCTTCCAATTTTCGCTTCCAAGTGCAAAAGTTTGTGATCGTTCGTTACGATCATGGAAATAATTGGCGTGACGGTATTCGAGTCACATGTGGAATGCGTTGAACGTCGCACTAATCAATCTCCCGCGTCACGTATCTATTATTTCCGAAAAAGCGGGAAGTTGATTGGCCGGCGCGCATATATATATATATATATATACGTATATATTTTCCGTGTCTATTGCGCGTTGAAAAATCACACATCGCGCGTATAGAAAGCATGATGCCGACTTCCATCCGTGATCGTAGCGTGGCGCGACGGTGGCGATCGAATGGAAATCAAATGCGACTCCTCTGTCGCAAGCAAGAAGCGGCTCGTGTCGTGGCTCGTCGTCGCGAGCAATCGCGAGCAATCGCGAGCCGACGCGAGCAGCGGAGAAGCGCGGCGCCGCTGGACGGTACGGCACGGTACGGCACCGTACAGCGTCGCATTTACACGGCCAGCACTGGCCAGCACAGAGGCCAGCAGTGCCAGCAGTAAGAGCGGGCGGTGAGGAGGCGGTGGAGAAGAAGGAGGAGGAAGTGGAGGAGAGAGCGGTCACTGGCGGCTTTCGTCGTGCGGTGTGATGTGAGAGGACCCGCGCAACGCCGGGTAACGTTCATTAGCGGACCGGAGTAGACGCGCGCGTGTTGCCCGGACGGGCCCGACGTGGCCGCCCGTTGCGAGTTTCTGTCAGAAGTCGTCCGCCGAAACGCTCAGCGATATGACGGTATGACGAGCCTCACACGGGCGTCGTAGATCAGCCGCCGCGCCACCAACGACGGTCGTTGCGTGCGTAACGTGCGTGTGGTGTCCAACCTCCCAAGTTCGGCGGGGCCTTCCCTTCGTCCGACATGGCGGGCTTTCGTGACAGAGACAGGGCCTTGTTCCCGATCCGGAGCATCTCCGCGATCGTGCAGATTTTCAAGAATCAGCTGGAGAACAGCGCCGAGCCAGATCTCGCGTTACTCTCGATCCTCATCGGCGCGGTCGAGAACTCCTTGACGTGCAATCGCATCTTCACGCCTCAGGAGAATGCCGTCTATGACGAGCCGAAGCTGCCGCCTGTGGAGTACCACATCGCCGAGGCATTATACACCAAGTTCCACGCGGTGATCAAGGGCGCCGTCGACCTTACCGTGTACGACACCAAGTACGCCACCAGGGAGCTCGTCAAAAAGGTGTCAGACGTGATATGGAACTCCCTCACCAGGAGCTACTACAAGGACCGAGCGCATCTTCAGAGTCTCTACAGTTACCTAACGGCAAACAAGCTCGATTGTTACGGAGTCGCCTTTGCTGTGGTGGCTGGTTGCCAGGTTTTAGGTTTCAAGGACGTGCATCTTGCCATGTCAGAAGATCATGCATGGGTCGTGTACGGAGAAGATGGTACAGAGACTGCGGAGGTTACATGGCATGGTATGTAATGCAAAGTCTCAAAGCATTAGGTATAAAGTTGTAGTATACTTTGCTTGTATACATACGATATCAATACCGATACAACCGACAGTCTCCAAAGAAGAAATGTAAACTATATTTTTAAAAATTTATCTCGAATACCCGATTAAACAGTAGTCTTACAATCCTAACGATTGGAAGAAGAAGTGAAACAAACTATTTTTGTTCAGAGTTCTTTAACAAAGAATAGAGACCTATTCTTTCCTTCTTCTTCAACTTCCTACTGTCAGAATTGAAAGATCACTGCTTAATCGAGTACTTAAGATGAACTTTTAAAAATATAGTATATATTTTTTCTTTGGAGATTATATATCAATTGGCACAAAGTATCACAATTTTATACCAAGTAATTTTGGATTTGTCTAAGAAAAGTATCTTTCTTATTACAGTATAATAATATTTCTTCCTAAAATTTTGTGATATATGACAGAAAGATTCAAACCTACCTCTTTTGCTTGCATTACTTCTATGTATCTTTTATTAAATTCTACTTGTGACTTCAAAAATCAAGAGTAAGAGGTAATTTATTACTAGGTAAGGGAAACGAGGATAAACGCGGACAACCAGTGGAACCTGGTGTAGCGTCTCGATCGTGGTTGTATTTAAATGGGCAAGCGATGGTGTGCAGTCGTGCTTTAGAAGTGGCTACCATAGTATCGGCTATAAATCCTAGTCTGAATGCGACTACCGATGCAGTTGAAGTGGCGTTGCTCCAGCAGGAATTGTTATGGTTGTTGTATGACTTAGGTCATCTAGCGAAGTATCCTATGGCACTCGGTAATTTGGCTGAGTTGGAAGAGGCTGCGCCTACGCCTGGAAGGCCACCACCTATAGACCTCTTTCAGGTTTGTGATATTAAAGTATTAAATAGCATCACTATAAAGTTTGCTTTCTGTTACCGAATTAGTATACACTTTTGGAATTTGTGAAAATGAGATGGGACAGATAGGTATATGTATATGTTTGATATTTGGCGAAAGTGAGGAACTGAATTCTAGTACAGTCCAGTACAGGAATAAAAAAATAGATCTACATAATGTATGTAATTATTCTGGACATATTTTTGTAGGAAGCCGTAAGATCGGCAAGGAAATACTATGGAAACGCGCATGTCTATCCTTATACTTATCAAGGTGGATATCTGTATCGGCATGAATTACATGTCAACGCGTTTGCGTCGTGGGCTGATGCCGCGGATGTTTTGCGAAAGTAAGTATCTGCGAAACGTATGAGTTTCTTTTTAATCTTTTTTACATTCTTAATAAGTTCGCTGAAACTGCATATCGTTAGAGGAATAGTAGTGAATATGTTAAACGCTTCATTGATATGCGGTTTGTTAGCGGTGAATAATAGAATTCTATGCGCGGCAGATATGATTATTCGCGGGACGACGGGGAAATATACAAGGAGTTGCTGGAGATCGCCAACGAATTGATACCACACGCGGTGCGCGTCGACGAGCGCTTACTACGACAACCACGTTGCTTCGCGTATCTATTGAGATTCTACGATGGTATTTGCCAATGGGAAGAGGGCGCCAATACGCCAGTGTTACACATAGGGTGGGCTCGTCCGCTGGTGAATACGATTTCAAAGTTTGACGCCAGTATACGCGCCCAGGTTGTCATAGAGTGCTACGAAACAGAAGTCAAGCAGAAGGAGGAAACGACACAGAAGAGAGAGACGAGTCCCGAGGAGACTTTGAACAACAATAATAACAATTATTGCAAGACTAAGGAGAGAGGAAACGCGGCACGAGATCTGATCAAGAGCCTAGAGTCCAAAGTACCCTCTAATTCAGCATCAACACATCCCAGTATTCAAGCGCTGACGGCAGCTTGCAGCGAGAAGATACTTAACAGAGATTACCTACTACAGGGTGGTGGTGAGCCGTTTGTCGCGCCACCGGACGACGCTCTACCACCGGCGCCATCCACTTCTCAGGAGAACGTTGAGCCCGAAGTTCTCCCGGAGGCTGACTCTGAGAACGAAAGGCCGAGGATAACGCTATACAGTCAGAAAATGAAGGGTCTCAAGGATCTGCTGCTCGCGGAGAAATTGAATACCCACGCGATCTCGCTGCAGCTTACGGCGCAGAGTCAGGTACAAATCGGTAAGAAGTCGCGTGGTAGCGACGACGTGGGAGTCAGTCAGCGTCCCAAGAGGACGCGTCGGGAATAGTATAAGATCCTTGACCGACGTTTCGGTATAGTGAAGTATTGAAAGTGCCACCACATTTCTCGAGATTAATTTTCCGCTCGCGCCGAGATACGAGACGCAAACGGCCAGCTATTCGCGACGCGGCCTGCGCAAACAGTCATTAAGGTATACCAACCTCCTCGCTCTCGGTGTCTCCCGCCGATACCCGGGATGCGGATTCCCCTCGACTGGACTCCTCCAGAATCTCGACTCGAGAGCGTCGTGATGCATTTTGTGCCGTTTGATTTTAATGAAGCCCTCCACGGTGCTCCTCTCGTTTTGCAACGATGCCGCGGATCCTTGCGAGACAACGTTTACGTTACCGTCGGGGATATATCGTCGTTAGTATCTATAGAGTATAAAAAGTAGATATGGAGAGAGAGAAAATTGTAGAAAAGTACAAAAAAGTTTTCCCCACTTTTTAAGTTAATAGACGGAATCGCGAGAGTCGCTCCCCCGTTGTCTCGCTGATTGTCAACTC